GGTGTGATCTCCAATAACAGTAACGCAATGTACTTCTTATAATAGGTACACAAATGTCATCATTACCACATATGGTTTAAACTGATAAAAGTATTATGAAATTTCAGAGAAACTGATGCAACTCTCCGAAATCCGGAGATGTCAAACCTGCCCAAGTTATTCACTTTTTGTGATCAAATCAGCACAGGTTTGAGGATAAGATTTCATTTGGGAGTTTCGGAAGACATTCCAATGGTTCTCTAATTTGTCGCCTAGAAATGCTCTCGGGTACTCCACTACATATGCTTTCCAAGTGCTGATTTCCTCTTGGTGCTCAAATAATGCTCACAGTCTGGTTAGGTTACTTGGTCGTAATCAAAATGCACTCAGCTAGCACTTCCAGTAGACAATGAACCATATCTTTCGTATATAAGCTGTTCAGACCTCGGTAGATAGGTTTGGGTTTGAACCCGCAACCCATCGGTATGATTCACAGACCAATGAGCCACAACCCTATCTAGATTCTCGGAATTCCTTATGCCGAGATATCCATAGTTGGCAGTTCGCATGAGTGATAATGAATGAAATTAGAGTAGCACAGCATAAATTCCAGAAACCCTGATCTATGGAATTTCTCATTGCCGGTCTGAGCTGTGTGATGTGAGATGGGATGCGGCCACCATATAGACTGTTAATAAGACAGCATAGTTCTTAAAGTCCTTATGAGGTTTCCAAAAGAAAACAGAACAACTGAGTAACTACTGTATCTATCTCATTCCTTGCAGATTTCGTGACTTTACTGTTGTAACACAAATATTTGACTGAGTAGCACCTTGAACACAAAAGAGACGTTACTTCTCAACGGCTATCTAGAACGACATGGGAATTGATAAGACAAATAGTGATGACAATCCATAAAAGAATTCAAATCTGTTTCTCTGTCGCCATGTGAGAAAGAGATATCGGAAACTCACGTAAAATTCTCAACAAACATGATATTCAAGTAACCCGGAAACACGTGGAACGAAACCCTTTTGTCTATAAGATCCTCTTACAATCGATAGCTTCTACCTTGACGTGGTAGTCGGGCTTGTATATCTCAGCGACCTATGCTGGTGGAACCCCTGTTCTCACGCGGTCTTACCATATTAGAAATGTCTGTGGTTAGAGAAAAAGCAGTTACCATTATAGTTTAAATTGTTATGCTATGATTTGGGTCTGAGGGTAAGTCGTACTGCTGACTAAATGGGGTTTCGGCAGCCGTAAGGTGTTTCCCTTAGATGACCAACAGTGCCATGTTGACACCACCTTCCCTATAGCACGGGGGGCTTAACAAAGGTCAGCCCCCGAAACAGCATATATAACCCTGGCGACATGCCGATGCCTGCAACAGGAATTCATAGTTGGATTTAGCGGCAAAATTCCAAAGTTGCCAAAAGGCCATATGTTACCGCCTTCAAGCGGATGTCCCTTGTGGTCTGCGGTCACATACTATCCCTTCTTTTTCAGGTACCTTGAGAAGAAATAGGCAACCACGATGTGAGAGACCGAGAAGTGTTCACCGTCCGCACGCTTTTAGTAGTACACAAGACTTAATCAAACATAACCTATCCCCCTCAATCATGTCTCTTTCCTTGCTTTCACCTCGGTATACTAATGTTCAACCCTTTACATCTTCCACAACCTCTCACTGTGTGACCATTGCGAACGATTAAAGCCATAAAAACCTCTCTCCTAAGATCCCGTCATCAATTTCGTGTAGGAGCTTAGAACGTCCGAACTCCATGCCAAATCGAACATGCGGGCACCGCTCACCAAAACTCTGGAATCTCGAGCCATGGGTATATATTGTGTCTATAATACACGTATACAGGATCCGAATGTGGTTATTCATCATCTGACCTCACTTGGCAATGGTAGTGAGTCCTCAAATTTCACCTTACGAGTATCCGGAGACCCAATGGATAGCTCTCACGAACTAGATGGTGTAGGCATAGCGTTGAGTTGTAGAGCAGGAAGTGTTCTTGTCAACTGGATACCAATCGACAGCCGTTCATTTACTGTTCGAGTGAACAGATCTGTAAGAACTAGGAAGGATCGTGAAACTAGATGATGCCTATTGGTAATCTCCGCCTATGTATCCACCGACTGTAGTTCGGATGGTACAAAGAATGAACTCTATGAGAAGCGGTCAATTTTACTGCAGAAGGCGAAACGTTCAGACGAAGTCATAATAGCAGGTGATTTTAACACCCTAGGAGTGAAGCTGAGCGAATGGGATAGACATGTTGGAGGTATCTACGGAATTCCATCGTAGTGGTGATGGTGTGTTGCAATTTTGTTCCTACTATCTCTTGTTTCTGGCCATCACTAACTTTAAACATGAGGAGAGACACTGTCGGACATGGCATCGGCCGACATTTAACCAACGTTGGACACAGACAGATGATATTGCTATAAACCATCGGTGGGGAGGATTACCGCTCTTTCTGGAGTAGCAGTTTGGACTCCGATCAGGCGCTAGTAGGAGCTTGTGCATGCCTGCACCCAACTGGTCGCAGGAAACAGGCTATAGTAAAACCTGTGTATGGTCGGTTGGAAGATGAGAATATCAAGTCTCCATTTAGGGAAGACATAGCTGAACATTTAACTGAGGGAACCTGGCTGGATATTAAGTCTACTGTAAAAACAACGATAAATACATTTGATAACCCATACCACAAGATCCATCAACTCTCCTTGGAGTTGAGAAAGCTGTATCGAACGTGAAGTGAAGCAAAGCAGCAGGACCTGACACTTTGCCACGCGAAGGTTTCAAGGACAGAAGTATATAATTGCTACTTAAAGTGACGGATGTACTGGGTAGTGTATGGGACAGAAGTAGTGCTGTCAAATTGGTCTACTTCACTGATCATTCCAATCTCTATGAAGGGGGAAGAAATTTTCCAGTTACCACCAGAGGAGAATTAGCCTGACCAATGTTGTATCTAAGATTCTAGAGTCCATAGTTATCTGATGCCTGAGTGAGGCTCAAAACAGCAAACTCAAAACAAACAAGGCCGGTTTCGAACCTGGACGACTGTTCGTCGGTAATATTTTTAACCTCCGACAGGTATGCTTAATGGTGGCCGACACGCCATATTTCTTGACCTGAAGGCGACATTTGACTCTATCGGTGTGGCAGTGTCTGACTGTGAGGGGAATACCGAGAAAATATGTAACGCCAATCACGCAGCCATATCAGGGCTTATGGAGAGTTTTCTTTTTCTATGATCAAATGGGTGTATTCCACTGTTTATGGACAGTTGTCATTTCAATTGACGACAGCTAGTAGTGTGCATCAGAGATCCTCACTCTCACCGTTCCAATTGAACTTTGTCATAGACGTACTAATGGACATAACTTTATTTACGTCTGAATTCAGATAGATTGATCTACTCCCTGGAGATCGTCTGATTGACTTGTAGTATACGGACGATGTTGTCCTGCTAGGTGTAGACGCTAGCAAAAAGCAGGGTCGCCTGAACGCACTGAGGAGAAATCTGAGCATATTTGGCATTTGTTTCCCTGGTATCCGTCAAATGCCAGAAGATGCTCTAGGACTGGTCTGCTGCAAGTATTCCCAGTTTAATAATGGGGAGTGAAGTGGTGGAATATGTCGACCAATTCACTTACTTGGGGTGTCGCATCAGCCCGAACGAGTTGGTTGCTGACGAAATCTCAGCTTGGATACAAAAGCCCCGTTGTCATTTGCTAACTTGCGTCAACTCTGGCCCGGAAGCAAGATATCCAGCTAGTTTTTGAGGGTCGGGTTTACTGCGCTACACTTCATTCTGTCCTATTGTACGGCTGTAGGACATCGTCGTTAAAAGCAGAAGACATGAAGTGGCCACATGGTTTCGATCACGGATGTCTTCGTAGCATTTCTGGTGTGTGAACCTTAACCGTCTGAGGTGGCTTTGACATGCAGTGGGCATGTCGAGTCACAGCCTACCTCGACGGGCCATGCTGGGGAAGCTGGATTACGTTTGAAAAGAGTCTAGAGTGCCAAGACCAACACATGGTACCAGTCTCTGACTGTTGATATGAGTCGTATGGGGAGATATAGACTGCCTAGTTGAAGTTCACGAGACAAACGGAATCAGTATTTGAGGAGTCTTGGTGACATGGCTGAAAATTGATCTCAGTAGCACAGATTAATTCACTCTATGATGCCTTCTAATATTCGCACTGACTTCTATTTTAAAATAGTTTATTCTCACAACATTTTCTCCACCTTCATATGACTCTTCTTCTATTAACTTGCTTTTTGTATACTACTATTGAAGTGTGGCAAGTTGAAACAATCCATTTGTGTGCAAATATCTACGTTGATTCTCTCTGTCTTTCATAGGATCCTGTTTCACTTACAAAACAGAATAGTCTTGTCTACCACATTCTATGCAGTTTCTGAAGCCAAACACATTTCTGAACAGCTGACTAGGTATAACTTAATAATCTAATTATAGAAAAGTTGCTAAATGCGGATTAGTAGATTGCAGTGAACTAAGAAACCTATAAAACATCTCAACCATAGGTACGCAAGTTGACCTACACTTCGTCTAACAACAGAATAGAGTAACAATTTTAAAAACTTTGGTTGTATGGGTTGATAGGTTGGTAACTAGCTTTGCTTGTTGAATCAATATAAAAAAATGTAGTAGGAATGCCCAGGCACTGGTTCTGATATCTGAGAAGTCCAATATATCTGCGACAAAAAAAAAGCGAAGTCTAAAGTTATGCAAACCGAATCTCCACGTTGTAGAGTTGCTTTGATATGACTATGGAAAACGATTCTCATCGGAAATTTCATGCAGCGAATAACAAATCTAGTGGGCGTAATGAAGTAAAAATGTACTCCACTCAAGTGATCGCACTTCAAATTTAATGCTAGTGTAACCGTACTGAATATGATAATGAAACTTTTAACCACTACTAATAAACACTAGTCATACTGTGAAGTATAACTAAAAACCAATGTAATGTTATGTAATGTAATGTTATAATTCCTGCTACATTTTTTGTTCACATTTAGATTTTCTTATCATCTACTAGCCATAGGTTTTATAACACTCATCATGATAAATTTATTCGCCCTTCAAGAGATCTGTTCAAATGTAAGTGCACAGTCAATGTATTTTCTCACCACACTTCAGATATGAATAAAACTGGATTCATGACTCCTCTTTCCAGTTTCTCATCAGACTGCGTTGTTACAAGTGAGTCTTTAAATTAAATCACTAATTTCAGATGAGCAACAAAAGGTTGAGCGACTTTCAGCCTTTGGAACATACGTTGGTGAGTGTTTGCCCAAATTTGTTCAAAAAGTACAAATGGGTCATACTAAGGAAATTGAGATTTGTATTCATCCTGACGGAATTGTTCCTGTTCTTTCATTCTTAAAGTGTCATCATAACGCCAATTCTTAAGCCTCTCAGATATCACAGCTGTAGATATTCCATCGAGAAAATACCGATTTCAGGTACAGTCTTCACTAATTGTGTCTCATCATCTATAGATGTTTACAATCTTCTTTCTTGAGGTATAATTCTCGAATTCGTGTTCTGACCTACACTGACGAACTTACACCGATTGACTCATCGTGTTGCGTTTTTCAAGCGTCGAACTGGTTTGAACGAGAAGTATGGGATATGTATGGTGTTTTCTTCTATGACCATCCTGATCTTCGCCGAATCCTTACCGACTATGGTTTTCAGGGTCATCCTCAACGGAAAGATTTTCCTCTTACTGGATACACTGAGGTACAAAAAATAATCTAAGTCATTCTTTCTTAGTTAGTCTTGTTTTTTAGTCTTTAAATGTCCAGTCTTCCTCAGTTAGTAGTGACTATACTCCATACTCAATGAGAAAATAAAAACTTCCCGTGGCAAAAATTTAAATTTGTAGCTGGTTGTTAGCTGATTGCTGGCAATCATTTTTCATCAAAGTAAATAACATTTTTCCTTTAACTAGAATGCGGCTCCAACTAGTGAAGATTTTGAATCCCACCCTGTCAGCAAAAAACGTTGTTTACCGGGTACTATGCTGCGTTATGATATGATCATAGAATGCACGAAGTGGTTCTCAGTCTCACACACCACAAGGATGATGTGAACGAATGAATTTATTGGCTGACAATACAGTTAACAATAATAGACTAAAAATGCTCGGTATTTATAAACTTTATCAAGGCATTTACAAGATTGTGAATAGGGTGATTTAATTAATTCGTACTAATAATGAAACTGATTAAATCCAATTATAGACAAAATAATGAAAAATAATGCGAAAAATGAGTAATACTAATTATCATACAGTAGGTTTTTCTGCGAAATAATTGCATTTCCCGACACTGTGGTCTATTATCTGGTTGTTACGTTGCATTTTCATCAATGTTTTTTTCTTGCGAAGTCTTACTACGACTTTATGTGGCTACATATTTCAAGTGCGACTCATCGGATAATTATCCCCTACTCATCTTAACTGGGTATAGGAAAGCAACTGATGATGGATAGTGGTTAGCAGTGGAATCCAGAACGCACGTTTCGTCCTATTCGGCACTCGTCAGGTGAGTGATGTTGTTTCCACTATGACTCGAATCCATGACCAACCACTTCAAACACCATGACGTTATCCACTAGGCCACTGAGTATTGAGACGTCGTCGTTAAAAGTAAGAGATATAAAGCGATTACAGGGTCCTGTTGGTCTGAGTCGTATGGGGAGATGTAGACTGCTGAGTTGGGGTCCTCGATACAAAAAGAATCAGTGGTTGAGGGCTCTTAGTGGTATAGCTGAAAATCAGTCACGATGGTGCACATTTATTCACGCTTGAATGTTCAAACTGACCTATATCATCAAATTGTTTATTCTCTCACATATTTCCGTCCACTTTGTCATCAGCCTTTTTCTAAACATGTTCTTCGCATACTACTGTGAATTGTCGCAACTTCAGCCGATGGAGTTATGTGCGAGGTTCTACGTTGATTTTATCTCTTTGCCCACTAAGTTAAGATAACCGCTTCTTTTACGACAGGTATAGTGTTGTCTTTTAAGTTATAGCCTGTGAATCTCCGTAGTTGGTTGGACTGAACTGGTCGACCACTATTGCTATATTGGCTCCTGTGCAGATGCTTCAATATTCCCGGTATTCTAAATTTAGATATTAATGATGAATAGTGACTAGCAGTAGAATTCAAAATGTGCTTTTCGTCCTATTTGGTACTCGTCATCGTTATCATGCTCTTATATCAAAGACTATACTAGATTAGTCGTAAAATGAATGAATATCGCGGCTCAGTGACCTAGTGGATAATGCTCTAGCGTTCGAAGCGACTGTTCATGTGTGTGAGTCTTGGGGAGGGAGGAACAAAATCACTCCAACCGGCAGGTACATCCAGCAGACGAGTCCCATATAGGATGAAAAACGCTTCCTGGATTCCACTGCTGGCTACTATCCATGATTAGTATAAAATTTGAAAATACTGAGGCATCCACACTAGAGCTCATATGCCAATGGTGACCGATCATTTCGGTCCAATCAACGACGGAGATTTACAAGGCATAACATTGAAAAGCAAGTTTTGAACAAATCTTTTTCGTCATTTGGCAATCCGCTTGTCAGTGTATGGGATGATACACAGGAAAACTTTCATCCATGAATCTTAACTCATTTGATTGCCTAATAAGAAATCGTTTGGTCAGTCACGGGTGGATTACTACAATTTCCAACAGTTTCTTTTAGTAGATTGTGTTGAAAAAGACTGCAGTCACTGTCATTTGTGACTACTAACTTACCTTCTATGTTTTTCATCCACTTCAATAGGCTATCAAATTACTGTTACTTAGCTAAATTCTTGCATAACAACCTTTATTATTCCGTTTCTGATAACATAAAGTGTTTAACTGTACCCGATTTCTCAAGGTTGTAAAGTTTCTTACTGATCCATGAAATAGTTATTTTCGATTTTATTTACCCCACTTACAGTGTTAAGGTTTCTCTAATAATATGTACTACTCTTCTGTATACATAAACTAAAAGTTACCAACATAACACATGTTACGTATTTTATTTTGCTCTTTCAGATGAGATTTGATAGTGAATACAGTCGTGTAGTCATTGAGCCTGTTGAACTGGCCCAAGAATTCAGAAGGTTTGAGTTTAACAGTCCTTGGGAAACGTTTCCAGCTTTTCGAGATCCTGGCTCACATGATAAGAATGTACTTGAAGCACCCAAAACTGAAACAAAGCCCGAGAATTCAACACCAAAACTAAACTCTGAATAAAAAGCAACTTTTTGTCGTTTGTTGAAAATATGAATTGATAGACTGTTGATAAATAGACTTCCTTAGGTCTGAAAAATTATCGTGAAATTTTGGGGTTTCATGAGGACAAGTTAGCAAAGTAAGGTGTGAGTGCCTATTCAGTAATTTACAATGGCAATAATTGTAATATTTATTTCATTTTAACCAGACAATAAATATACATGTGGTCCATTGTTTTCCTCGTGGTCTGTGAATGGAGGCCTTTATACAAAGCAGAAAAAATTTGTCTCTAAATAGTACTATAAAGTGCTACATTACCTGAGATCCAACTTTGTATAGTGAGAGCCAATCATAAGGATTCATATAAGTAGTATATGTGGCAGTATCGAGAGTGAAAACGAACAACTAGTGAGGATTGGAGCAAGATGTATAGGGCAAGAACAATACTGCGAACTGAGATACAGAGCAAGAGATTAATTGGATATGGTAACCATTTTGTAAGGTTTAATGTTTTCACCATTGTAAGAATTCAGAGGTTGTGAAATGTTTTACGATAAAGACAACAAGAGATGATACAGCTCGTAATACCATACGATAACAGAATTTAGACGAAATAAAGCCGGAAACGGCATCTGCATAACTTCAGTCGATAGTAAGCCATATTATCTGGAGTTCTCACTCAATTACTTCGCTTGTGTCTTGCTAATCCCATCAGGAAGTTTACATTTCCCGCATGCCATAGACTTCTTGGGCGAGTGTAATATCGTGATCTGACCACACTCTGACGAAATACTACTCTAGGTAACACCAACTGTTTGTGTAAGTGGTGGCTTAGCATGTGTAGCACTCAACTGATGGTTAACAACTGAGTTGGCTCTCCGACCTCATAATCTACGCCTAATCTCTGCTTGATCGCACGATAGTTTCAGGAAATGGCAACTCCAGTCACGCATCAAATACGTGTAACTACTTTATATCCTCTACCTTAAGTGGCTCTGTTTCACCGAGCGCATTGCTATGCAGCACGCTACGACTCTTAAAAGTCACTGAAACAACTCGCACGTTCGACAAATCAATGAAAACCAATCGAACCTCTCGTGTCGTGCTTAGACTTATTTCTTGACCACTACAGATAACTCAGTCAGTCTTGCTACATGATTTTTTGCTGAATGCATCATATTAAATCTTCATATATACATGATAACTGCAGCTACTGTGAACTTGTATCAATATATCTTTAGTATATATAAGGATTTAGTTGAGGAGAATAGTATGATTATTTAGAAAAGCAATATAACACGCTCGATATTCTATGAGATTTTCCTTTCAACTATGCACTGTTATAAGTAAAGAGTTTCTAGTTAAAGTCATTTTCGGTTAAGCGACTAACAGGTCCAACTCTACTTCTACAGGTCAAATTTTTATGGACAGGAGCGAAATGCTGTTGATTCGACCGATAACTGCTACTTTGACGTGGTGTTCAGGCTTGTATATCACAGTCCTCAGCTAGCTACAGCGACTGAAACACTTGTTTCTTGAGGTCATGCCATCCCGGAAAGGACTGTTGCATAGTGGTAAGATAAGAACACCATCCTCACACTGAATCGCTGAGCTGTGATACGAGTTCAAGGGCAAAATCTTACTGCTGACTGCACGTAGTACGAAAGTAGTAAGGTGTGGGTGACCAGCAGTAACACACTGATGCTATCTTCTCTTTGGGAAGGATGGTTCAGAAGAGGTCGGTCCCGAAAACAACACACTACTCGCTGTCTTCCAGTATCAGTGTTATGGATTTTCTTAACCTGCGATAAAACCGTTGACTCTAAGACCAACAGTCCTAAGACGGCCATGTGGCATGCCTCAAGCAAATGTCCCATGGGCTACGCGGTCACGCAAATCTATACATTTTCCCCTTATAGAAACAACATTCACATTGTGAGTAGCTGGGATGTACCAGCCGCTCGTACGCTCCAAACACATACCTTACCCTCTTTACCTTTGTTTCGTCTTTTAGCTACACTTTGCGTTACCAATGTTGTTAGACCTCTCACTGTCTGATGATTGCTAGCAATGCAAGTCAGCGAAACACCATTCACAGTCTCACACCACCGACTTCCCATTGGAGCTTCCAATATCCAAACCCTACACCAGATCGGACGATAAGTGCTTTCTTGCCAGAACTCTGATATCTCGAGCCCTGAGTATATGTTGTGTTGAGATACATATACAGGACCCGAGTGTGGTTATTCACTTGACATAACCTGGTCACTGAGATGAATCTCTAGAATTCACTTTACAAGTGGATGGATATTCAGTGGTTACCTGTTGTGAACTCGCTGATATAGGCACAGCATCAAGTTGTTGATCAGAAAGTGCACTTCTCAACTGGAAGCTAGTCAGTCAATAGCCGTCCGTATGTTGTCTGACTGAATGGATCTGAGAGAAGTAGGAAGGATGGTAAGATATGCCGATGCCTGTTCATGATCTCGGCTTACGCGCCTACCGGCTGTATTTTGGTGATGCAAAGAATGAATTCTATTGAAAGCTGGGGATTTCGCTACATAAAGCGAAACGTTCAGACAGTCATGCTGGCAGGTGACTTCAAGACTCAAGTAGGAAACCTGAGACAGTAGGAAAGGCATCTTGGAGATATCTACCGAATTCCATGCTAAACTAACTCACTTTGTTTCCTCCGATACCAGTTAAGAAAAGCACAAATAGATCATACTGTTATAAGCAGTCGTTGGGGGATATCCACTCTTACTGCAGTACTTGTTTGCACTCTGATCACCCGTTGGTGCAAGTATATGTATATCTGCAACTTATTGCAGAAAACACAAAGCAGTGGAACCTGTGTAAACCTGACTGAAACATGAGTATGTTGATTGTGTATTTAGGGAGGAGATAGTTAACCATGTATCTAAAAGTGACAGGAATCTTCTTCCTGAGGAAGCCTGGTACGATATTTGTTCTGCTGTAGAAACAGCGGTAAAGAATGTTAGTTGGTAACCTACATTCAAATGTCGAGAAAAACTAGTGGATTTCCGCGACCTCGTCTGAACTGATCGGTGCGACAAGGTTCATCCCAGTTGGCCGTTCATACAACGAGGATCGAAAGCAGCTCAAACGTAAATTGAGTGAGGGTCTTCACAATAGTCATGAACAGGGGTGAGTACCAAAAGTGAGGGAGATGGAGAAAGCATCAGCATTAAGTAACAGTCGGCAATTATTTAGGCCGATGAAGTATACTGGAAAGAAGAAGACGATGCCAGTGAGACCTCAAGACGCGCGGCTACAACGTTAGGCAGAATACGTTGAAGGACAGTTTAGCTAGTCTGCAGCCATGCTTCAGTTGGCCAGCATCCATCCAAAACCTGAATGGGATGTGGATGTCGGTCCTTCAACTCTCCTTGAAGTTGAGAAAGCTGTTTTGAACGTGAAACGATACAAAGCAGCGCGACCCAATGTTTTGGTACCAGGTTATCAGTAAGAGAGTAAGAAATCACTGGGTTGAGTGATGTAGGTACTAGGTAGTGTATGGGAATCAGAGACCGGTCCACTAGACTGTCCTAGTTCGTTGATAATCCCGATTTGTAAGAAGGGGTAGGAGTTTCCTTGTAACAGCCACTGAGCACCCGGTTTAGTCAGCATGATGTTTAAGACCCTTGGGTGTATAATTGTCGGACACCTAATCGAAGTTGGAGAACTGCGAACCCAAGGAAACCAGGGAGGCCTCAGAACTGGACTAGGATGCATCGATCAGGTAAACCAGGTGTTGTGGTAGTGTACAACCAAAGTGAGTATCGAGCAAGTATGTGACGCGAATCAAAGCTGTCCACTGAAACTCACCCAATCGTGTAAGGACTTGTGAGGAGTCGTCATCTGAGTCGATGACAATTGGTGGTGCCTTTCAGGGATGCTCAATGCTGACGTTTCTGTCCAACTTCATCATAGATTTATTGATAGACATAACCTTCGGAACCTCTGAATTCACAGGGATTGATCTACTCACTCTCTCAAGGCTACCTTGTTGACTTGAAGTGTATAGACGATATTGTCCAGTTAGGTGATGACACTGACAAATTGCAAGGTTTTCTGAACGCCCTGAGCAGAAATCTGTGTTCATTTGGCGTGTAGTTTGCACCCATCAGATGTGAAATGATGCTTCAGGACTGATCGTCTGCTGATTCCAGTTTATGGATAGGTGAAGGTGGCTGGATGCGTCGATCACTTCATCATCAACCAGAACAGACTGGTTGCTGACAAAAACTCAGCTTGGATACGAAAGGCCTGTTTCGCATTTTCGAAGTTGCGTCATCTTTGGAACTGGCGAGATATCAGATTACCCTTCAGTCGACAAGTATTCTAACTCTGAATTCCACATTGTCCTATAATGCATTTGTGGGACATACTTGTTGGCAGTAGGGGATATGAAAAGATTGGGGATTTTCGAACACAGATATCTTAGTAGCATTGGTGGCGTATGGTGGAATCACTGTGAGCAATGTCGAGTTTATGCGACGGGTACTAGCCAGGGAAGATAAGTGAGTCGATGAGATTGTGAACCGTTATCTAAGGAAGACAATAAGCCAACGTCAACTGAGGTAACCTGTACTTGTTTTGCTTTTTCTAGCCACTGTTTGATTCAGCGTTCAATCCTAGTAGATGTTGGATTATCTGAGGGTGGCGAGAACATGATCTTGCATCGGTCTATCAAGTCTCTTCCCTTCGATCTGAGGCGTGTAGTGAATGTAAACCTCCTGCTTAGGGTCACCAAGACGATATAAATCAGTGGTTGGAGACCGTTGGTGAAATAACTGGAAATGGTTTACCATGGAATATATGTACTAACTATTTAACGCTTTCTAGTGTTTGAACACTTTTAATAGCTTTTGTTTTTAATTTTTGCCCTCCCATACATCTTTTGTTTACTTTGATGTCACTTTCTGTAACCACTTGTTCTTTGTATACGGCTCTTGATAGTAGCAATTTTAACCGATGCACTTCATTGCGAGCTTATA